TGGCGGGCGCTGCCCTGGGCCTTGGCCTGCGCTGGGCCTCCGGGCTTTTTTCCGGCCGGTTTTTAGAAAAACGCCCCAAAATAAAGGGGGAGGAGGAAGGGGGGGATTAAATTGAAAAGTAAGAAAACAGCGGTGCGTTGAGGCGTCAGGTGCTGGGGGCTGTGCCCTGCACATTTCTCCCGGAGGGGAAGCATCTTGAAGCGCAACTAGTCCCTTGTTCATTAAGAAACACGGGAAGGGGTGTCCCTGCGCAAGCGCTCGCTAGGAGATGGCCGCTAAGCAGATGCAGGTTTGATGGGCTTTGTTGCTACAAAATAGCGATGCAGAAGCCTATAGAAGGGGTACGTTGAGAAAACGCACATCTTGGCCACCTAGCACATTTTGATACCTGCCTCGACATGCTTTATTCTAGGAAAAAATGGTAACCGGTCCCAGTACCATAAATATGGTATTGTAGGCTAGATAATAATCTCAAATTCAAAAGCTTTTGCAGTTGCTTTAGCGCGTGCTCGGTTTTATTCGGTCTTGTTCCCATGTCACTTGACGAGAGTCTTATTATTGAGTTGCGCAGGAGCAGGACTAGGCCCTAGGTTTAGTTGTGGAGAGCGCGTGGGCGTGGGGATCATCCCGCGCAGAAGAGAACGTCTAATAACACCTTAGGGATAGCATCCTATTTTAATTACCATTTGTACGTAGATAGCACCATAGGGCTAGACGCTTGTTTTTATATATAGCCAGCTTTTCCTGTCCTTGTGCACGCTGTGAAGTCTGTGAAATGAGAATAACAATACTCGTCTACCTCAGAGAGGTTTTACAAGTCTTCATTATTGATTGCCCAGGAAGTGCTTTAAAACTGTCAATAAAAAGTCCTGAAAAGTGCAAAGTAATAAGAATTTCTGCTATGAGCAGAGGTGTAACTTCACATTTTGGTGCCCAGGGCACACAGGGAGGAAGGGATGGACAGTTTCCTCCTCCTGCAGGTCATGACAGTGGTAACAGCACTGCTGCTGCCTTGGCACGAGCTCCTCCAATTTAGGCTATGGCAGCTGCACAGGCTCCCTGTGGGCTGCCTTTCTGGCACACCGGGCCTCTCTCCTGGATCAGCACCTGTGGCTGGCACACTGGTCACTCCCCACATGACACTACTGCTGGGTAGCTCATGGGTTGGAAGTGACTAGGGAGGAATAAGCCCTGGGTGTACTGATCAAGCACAGGAGAACGATAAACCGACAGTGTGATGCAACTATCATTGCACCTGTAGGGCAAATGCATTCTTGGATTGTCAGGCAAGGTCAAAATAGGGAAGCATCAGTGTCATTGTACAAGACATCACCTGGAATTCTGTACACAGGTCTGGTCACCCATGGTCAGGAACATGTAATTCAAACTGGAACAAGTGCTCTTGACCAGAGGCATGGAAAGCCTTCCTCATGGAGACAGACTCAAAACGTTTGCTTTGGTTAGCCTAGCAAAACAAAGGTGAGAGGAATTATGATTCCTCCATAAATACATCAGGTGCTAAACACCAGGGAGGGAGGAAAAAACCCAATTTATGCTAAGGGACAATCTTGTTGAAGGAGGGTAAACTGACCAGCATAAATTTAGGTTGTAAATTAGATGGTATCTAACTATCAAAGGGTTCTGGAATAGCTAATTGGAGTAGTGGAGACAAGCAACCTACTTGATCAGCTTATGAAAGGGGTTATTTTATATGTTGCCTGTGATAGCAGGGAACTGGACTTAGTGGCCCAGGAGGTCCTGTTGTAAAGAAAGTGATGCAGTTATACAATGAGATATATGCTTTTTGATGTTGGGCCTCATGCCCAAGCCAAGGGATAGGTTCACTACCGGTTTGGCATTTACTTTTGCTGGTCCAGATAAAGTAGTCCCATTGCTGACCAGATCTGGCACCTTCAGCTCCTCTGTTGTCTACATTGGCCAGATCAGTCCCTTTGTAAAAGAATGAATGGATACCAAGTCACGATCAGTTCCAGGAACACACAAAAGGCTGTGGCAGAACTTTAACCTACCTGCATGTTTCATCCCTGACCTCAGAGCAGCTGTCCATAAGCAACAAACCTTCGAAAGCCAGCTAACTTGAATTTAAAATCATTCACAGACTGGATTGTATTAACCATGGTACTGTGGATTTACTACATTACCCGGACTAACTGTTAACTGTTAGGATCCTTCTGGATATTAACTGCCTTGTTCATCTCAGTTGATCTAATCAACCCACATATTACCTCTCTTTTCAATCAATGTTCCCTCCTTCTTCCATGTAAAATAATTTCTGCCAGTCTGTTCATGGAGTCTGATGAAGTAATTTGTTGCCTGGGGGAACTCATGCCTCTCTGAACCAGTTAGTCTCCAAGGTGCCTTGTTTACCTCCCTTCCACCTGAATCAACAGAGAAATAATACATATCCTGCTTAGCTGAGAGTACAATTGTATGAAAGAATCCAGGTGTTGGAATCAGTTGAATTGGATACTGTATAGCCTTAGCTGAGATCTGTGTTACAAGGATTTGTTGGTATGTACAGGTATTTCCCTTCTTGGTTCTGGAGCCTAGTTTCCTTGGAATGCTTGTTTTATTTGACTCTTGCATGTGACGGGCATGAAAGGCTGCATTGGCTTCTAGCTCTGCCATTCTTGGCCACTTATCCAAGGTAAATCCAGCCTCTGGAAGAAATACATCTTATGTTTGTTACATGCACTGTAAAAACATAGAAATGCATATACAGTAATTAAGATCTTTTGATGAAAGAACCAAATGTTACATAGAACACAAGCAACTTTCATTTGCATGCCCATGATTGTGCAATTTTCTGGGTTACTTAGGCGATATTCTGTTGTATACTATAGAGGGTGTGTTCATATCAAGAGAGTATTAAATAGGTTAGGCAACACTTGGTTCCTTTCAGTTTGTCTTTGGTTTAGCTGGAGGACATCAGCCTCAGTCTAGGACCTACCAGTAATAAAATTCTCTGCTGCATTTTTCTCAAGCAGAAAAGTAGAAAAGTGGGTGAAATAAAGGAAATGAATGAAATGCCATTTCAGACTTACTGGATTTATCATAATGCATACTGTTAAGAAAAATGCTTAGATCCAAAAGAAAAATTTTAAAGTCCATCAGGAAATCACTGTGACCTAGTACGGACAGCAGTATGTCATTCAGTCAAACCAGGCCTCCAACATCAGAGGTGAGAACTTTTGTACTGGATGTTTTAGAAAAACCTGTATAATTGTTTTGAATTTTAAAAAAATGCTGCTTTGCAACATTTTTGGGAGATCTGTACGAAAAAATCTAGTTGTGTACTATTATGTAAAGTAAAAAGACATGCCTAATACATATTTAATAATCAGAAGAATATAGGAGTACTTAATATATCTTATTTGTGTCCACACTTACACTAGAAAAGTTTTTTAAAGAAAATTCTCACACTTGCTGACCTTGTTTCAGTTCCACCAAAGGTAAATTATTAAGCACCCAAGCACCAAGATACTTAAGGCACACTGTCACTTCATATACTTTTGCTTATGGTAGTCAGCAGTTTATTCACTTGAATGCTTCCAATATTATTATTGCTATTATCAATGGTGAGAACATATTGAAAAAATTGCCTTGTGCTGACAAGGTCTTGGGATGAGTCCACTGACTTCAAAGCAGGCCCTTAGAGCTCTACAGGTTTTGGGGAGTTAAGGAAAAGAAAAGTCTAAACCAGGAAATAACTGTAGGCCATGAGATGCTCTCCTGAAATGTACTGAAAAACTTGTCTACCATACAGTTGGTCCAACCATGCAGTTTGTCCAATAAAAGCTATCACCCATAGAAATCCTTACCAAGTATTCCCAGTAAGTTCCATCCATCGCACTGGCTGTGACATCCAACAATACAGCTCCTCCTCTGTGTCCACTTTTATTTTTGAGATTTTTCTAACATTTCTGTGAAAACTTCCGCAAAGAATGTGCTGCCAATTGAAATCTGCTCCTCTGCTTGTTTGTAATTTATAATTACAACTTAATCACTGACAACACTGTCAGTTGTCAGTTTATCATATACTACATATATGCAAATGTATAATCCCCAGAATTATCTTTAACCTTGATGGTGATATATTTTTGTGGCCTTCACTTAAAAAAAAGAAAATTGAGGATCTCTTGGCTACAGAGAACCTGCCAAATGTCAATCAGATGTAAAAAAAATATCATTATGTCTGCTTGGAACAATGACTCAGAGGTGTATGCTCCTCTGTCTAAGCATTATGGTCTTGGCCTCGTGACAGCATTCTTTGACCTTTTGTCTAAAATCAAGTGTATTATTTTTATGGCAGAACACACATGTAATTTCAAAAAAATTATAGTTAGATTAAGGCTATTAGGTTGCAGAACAGACAAGGAACATGACTTTACAACGTACTGGAATGCTCTGACTTACATAAACAAATCTGTGCAATCAAGAAAAAATGTTTTATAGTCTCCCTTTCTTTTCCATAGCTGACATTTTGCAGAACTGCAGTTATTTTTCTTATTATTGGACCAGAACCTGTTGTTAAGAACTGTCTCAGAGTAAGCAGTTAGGGATTTGAATCCATTACTATTATTAAACTCCTGTCAGCTATTAGTCCAAAATCTGTGTAACTGTTAAAGTCATTATCAGATAATCAATGTTGATATAATACATTAAAAATCTTAGATGACTGAAATTGATAACAGAATTTGTGGTGCTAAAACTATTTTGGATCAAATTTGTTTGCTGAAATCTGACAGTACAAAAATATTTTGAAGTACATTCATAGGAATTTAGGCCTAGAAGGGACCTCTCATTTATGTGAATCTAAATAGGCAGATCAAGGAACAGTTTAAAATTATATAAAATACAAACAGACTGAACAAGGCAGTGGATCTCACACACACTTTTTATTTTTGTTTAATTATATAAATCCTTTTACTGGGTTTATGTTACATTTTTTGCTGTAACAGCATGCCTGTCACCGAAATGCTAAGTATATCTGTAATTGCAATAATCGTCTTTCACTGTACTTAGTTGGTGGAGCTTCATGTTTTTTACGTCCCAGAAGAAGTGTGGAACTTCAAATTGAATACAATTTCTGCAGATCATATTAGGACATTCATTTCAGCTGGATTTATAAGGTGAGTCATTTTAATGAGGAACAGTGCCCAAATCTTGCAAATACTCATGCACATGCTTAACTTCATGTCTGTGAGTAGTTCTGTTAGATTGTGTTCCAACACTTCTGTGCTTCTGAGTCACTCCAGAGAATGCCATTATACTACAGAATCAGCTAGAACAATTTCTGTTCGCTGCCCACTTCCAAAATCCAGGGAGAACAAAGCAGGCTCATGACCAATTTTGCTGCTTCCAGGGCTACATCAAACTTGGTGTAACCACAGCCCAAAATTTGGACCATTAAAATACACTTCAGAAGGGGCTGTTAGAAAAAGAGTTGGCCCCCTTTTAACATGATGTTAAAGGAATGGTTAACAAGAAAACATGGATTCCACAAGAGCAGTTCATACAGTGAAGATGTCTAAACCGTATATATAATATATATTTTCCTTTGTATAACTAAGATCCCAATCCTACAATGAGCTCTGCCTAGAGCACTCTTGAAGTGAATGGGATTCCATGTAGGCCAGAGTGCAAACAAGCTGGAGCATATGTCTGTCTTGCCCAACACCTGAGACATTTGCCTGGATCTGGAAGTCCTGTGTTCCAAGACCAGTTCCAAAGATTGTTTCTGGATTTACATTAAATATGGTCATTAGATGAAATGCGTAAACAGTCATTGACCCAGCAACCAGAACCCAGCACTCCCCACTCCCAAGCCAGTATCTGACCCCCTGCACTAGTGTCTTGGTCATGGGTATAATTTCTCTCATCCAATTAAGCATGAATGTTTTCTGCAGAACAACACAAACAGCAGTCAGTAAAAATTGGGGGTAAACTTTATTTTTTACATTATGAAAGGACAAAAAAATTGAATTTGTCTGTTTCCAGGTACATTTTGTTCTCTAATTAAAAATTACATTTTTTAAATTTAAATTCTTTGGACCACTAATCCAGCCAAGTCCCAGATCTGATGTGGAAGCATGACATGGCGATATTCCAAATATTTTAGATTATGAATGTCATCATATTATAATACCAGTCCCTGAGGTCCAAAGCCAAAAAATCATTCCTGGAGCATATACAGCAGGGGAAAGCAAGAGTAGTGGGAAGCAGCCAACCAGACAGGCATATGTTCCCCCACAGAATCTTGCATTCATTTTGCCTGGCAGTCAACTTTTTCTCCTGTTGCTATTCTGAGTAATTTTTATATAGAGCTTATCATCTCAATACCTGAATGCCTTCCAATAAGCAGCATAACTAATATGTGTATATGTTCTCTTATCCTCTTCCCAAAGGACAAGTGTTTGTGGGGGCAGAGAGAAGAGGTGGGAGAGAAAGAATACTTTAGGACTTTTTAAATTATACACATGCATGCACATTCCTATGTTCACACATATTACTATATTTATATTGGAGAAGGTACGTCCGGGCCTTGCACTTGGACCAAAGGTTGATGAGGTTTGTAATGCTTCTTGGTTCTGGGGAGAGTTCTTTACACTGTTTTGAGTTTACCTCCTGAGAAAGCCGTTATTTTCTTGGCAGGTGAGCTCCACCCTGATAATTCCCAGGGGTTTTGTCATCTAATGCCAGATAAGCAAAAAATATTCCTCAGGTTTCAGGTCATGCCACTCTTGATTTTTGTGCATGTTCCTGGAATGTAAATGCTTCTCAGTTGGGGTCAGGATAGCTTTGTATCATAGTGTCATCACATTATGAGGCAACATCATGACTTGGCAAGACCAAAACTGACCTGAACATAAAAACAATTCAGGCCCAGTTCCATCAAGTGTGACATGACTGTTGTTTATTTCTTTCCATTATATCCACCCAAACCTAAGCACAATGTATCACCCCCTCCTACTCTTACTGAATACCCAGCCTCCTTTGATCTTGTAAATGGAATAATGAATAATTACATTCCAGGGCATCTCCTTGCTTGACACTGAGAACGCTACGGGAGCAGCTTGGAAAGTACCTAGGTGAAAATGCTGTGACAGATAAATTTAGATTTCTAAAATGTATAGGGAAAAAGCTAGCAGTGGTAAGTTATTGCTTTATTTTCTCTACAGTTTTTCCTCCTGTTTAATAATAATGTAAAATACAGATTCAGTTGCCGTAGATTAAATATTGTTACAGGTTTTAAATGGGAGATGGATAATTTTTTGAACAACACTGACGTTTGTAGTTATGTGCATGTTCGATGAGATATCCAAATAGCATTCTTCAGGGTAACAGCTGTGGTTAGGATGGAAAGTTTTCTTCTGTATTCATTAGTACACAATTGGTCAGGACAGTTAATCTATTTCACTTTCCTCTAATACATTGGAAATTGTTCATTATTTTCCATTGTAAAGAGACCCAATGTAATGATAGATTAATAGAAAAATAATGCAGGAAGGGACTTCATGAGGGCTTCTAGTTCAGCCCCCTACTCAGTGCCATTCCTGTCTAAAGCATCTCAGGCAAGCGTTTGGACTACAGATTTTATTTAATATTACAAATTATAAGTCCATGTGTGAAACACATGCATATTTTCAAAAAGAAATGTGTAATGAAATTTAAGTCCGCCAGAACTCGTCTGAAGGGTCCTGCTCCACCTGTTAGCTCTCCCAGTACAATTTGTAGCTTAAAACCAGTCTGACCCTACATTTCTATTGCATCTGTCAGCCCACTTGCATAAACTGTCCAGTTTACACTGTAAAACAGTTGCATCTGTGACTCTTAGCTATTAAATATTTGCTTGTTTAATTATTTTACATGTTATAGCTAAAATAAGTGATAAACTATGAAGACAACCAGTACAGTTAAATGTTGAATAATTTCATAGCTAAATGATTCTAGAAATAACACTGCCTTTGTAGGATTTTTCTTCTTTCATTTTTGCTTCTCAAAAGTTTGGAATACATATACAAGCTGAATATTCTGTGCTGTTATGGATTGAATTTGCAGTCAAGTTACCAGTAATATTACCTGTTTGAAAAACTAGGATAAATATCAAGAAATGTACAATAAATAGTGAGGGAGCAAAACAAGATCAAAAGCAGCTTAAGGACTATGGAAAAATGTAAATATTGCACAAAAATGTAATACCATGCAATCTTTTGAAACAGAATGATATTAAGCAATGAGAGAAAGAGGTAGCTAGCCATATGAGTCTAAAGTCAGGCAGAAGGCAGCATAGGTTAGCACCTTAGAATAACTAAATTCATAAGCCAGGGCTCACCTCATCAGATGCTGTGAAAGGACATGTACAGAGCAATCTATCAAATAAAAAGAGTGATTTGAATACAAAAGGAAGGGAAGGGTGCAAGGGAGGGAGGGGAGAAGGGGTTGGGGAGGTAGTGCTGGGATTTGATTTGGTTTGACTTTATTTGATTTGATTGAATTTGACTTGATGTGATTTGATTTGATGCACTGATCTATGCATGTCCTTTCACAACATTTGTTGAAGTGAGCTCAGGCTCACAAAAGCTTATACAGCTCTGATTTAATTAGTCTATAACAGGGGTGGGCAATTATTTTGAGCGGAGCTGCTTACCCAGTTTTGGCAGGCTGTTGAGGGTCACATGGGTAGCCCCGCCCCTTGACAGGTGCCCCGCCCCTTGGTCACCATCTTGGGACCAATGTCCCAGGGCCAGCACCGACAGGGCCCAAAGCGGAGAACAGGCTGGCAGGGGTCTGTGAAGCCAGGCTGGGCTGCACCAGCAGGGGCAGGGGGGAGCTGGCCTGGGTCCATAGAGCCCCTGTTGGCTGGGACCCCATGCTCCTGACACCCTGCTCTGGGCCCCGCCGGCACTGGCCCTGGGACACCGGTGTGGGCCCTGTGCTCCCGCTGGCTGCTGCACCTGCTCGCTCCCAGTGCCCCCCAGCCCCGTGGTACAGCCAGGGGGCAACATGCAGCCCTGCTTCCCGGCCGGGAAGGAGCTGGTGCTGAGCACGAGGAAAAGTGGCCCCTCGCCCACCTCATGGCCGGCGCTCCATGCTGCAGCTGCTTGCAGCCCACACGCAGCAGTCCTGAGCAAGTACAGACAGCCTGATGAAGGCTGCAAGCGGCTGCAGTGCAGGGCGCTGGCCACGGGGCGGGCGAGGGGCTGCTTTTCCCTGCGCTCAGCACCAGCTTGTAACCCGGCCCCACTGCCAGCCCGGGCCCCGTGCAGCTCTGGGCTCACCTGTCAGGGCTGCACCGTGGTGACAGCAGCTGCGGCCCACCTGCTTGCTGCGCCGGGCAGTGTGTGCTGCTGCTGCTGCCTGCCTGGAGCTCACGTGCTGGGCAGCCCAGAGGTGGCAGTAGCAAACACTGCCCAGCGCAGCAAGTGGGGGGGGCTGCAACTGCTGTTGCCACATGCAGCCCCGACGGGCGAGCCCAGGCTGGTAGTGGGGGTGGGTTACAAGCTGGTGCTGAGTGCAAGGGGGGGGAAGTGGCCCCTCACCTTCCCCGTGCCCAACGCCCCACTTGCAGCCACTTGCAGCCTGCATGGGGCTGCCTGCATCTGCTCAGGACAGCCCCGCGTGGGCTGTGAGCAGCTGCAACAGGGAGCACCAGCCATGGGGTGGGGGAAGAGCTGCTTTCCTCTGTGCAGGGAAGAAGCCCAGGGAAAAGCCAAGTGCGAGAAAAAGCAGCCCTTCCCCTGCCCCGTGGCCAGTGCTTCCTGATGCAGTTGCTTGCAGCCCACACGGGGCTGTCCTGAGCAGGCACAGGCAACCCCAGGCAGGCCGCGGGATGGGCGGATGAGAGGCCGCTTTTCCCCCCCTCCCCATGCTCAGCTTTTCCCCAAGCCACTTTTCCCTGGGGTCCTCCCCTGCCCTTCCCTCCCCTCCCCCACACTTACCTGACGGTCTTGGGACACTTGGTCCCAGGCCAGAAGGGCTTCCGGCTGTGGGGGCAGGGCTGGGTGGGCCCTGCTGTTGTGGGAGCCTGCTGGGACTTCCTCTGGGTCCTACTGCCCCTGGTTGCTGTCATTTTTTACAGGAACCAAAGGCAGATAAATATTTTCTAAATTTTTTAGGGGCCCCGCTGGCCAGATAGCTGGCATGGACAGGATACAACCCGTGGGCTGTATTTTGCCCACCCCTGGTCTATAAGGTGCCTCTTTAGTCTGCCTTCTTTTAGGCAACATGGGGTGTGTCTACATGTCGCCATATGGTGAGGTTGCTGTGGCTATGCTTTACTACTTCTTTTTGGAAGTCCTAAAGCCCAGTGCAGTATGGGAGGTTACTGCGCTGTGCATGCAGCAAGGTTAAATTTCATCACTACATCACCATAGCAGCATGCTATACACGGAGAGAGCGCCGCTGCAGCAACATAGCTGGCAATCACATGCAGACACAAGTGATTGCTACATCGCCATAGTGCACCATACAGCAACATAGCACGTCACTACATCACTGTAGGGCAACATGTAGATGTGCTCATGTTGTACTTTCTTTCCTAGTAAACATTTCTGAAGCAAAACAGATGTTTACTCCCACTATTTGAACTTCAAAGCAGCTGTTCTACTCCTTCCTACTTAGTTTTGTAGAGGAAGTTAAAGTTCAATATTTGTTGTTTGGCGTCATGGTAACCTTATGCAATTTAACCTCTGCCATTAAATATTTGCAGAGCTTTTTTTTTCCATTCATTTCACAATAGTGACATTGCAAACTATTGCAAGAGCCCACTATACTTTTGAGACTTTTGAACAATTAATTTTCTCCTTTTTTTTTCCTTCTCCTGCTTCTTTTTAACTTTTATCTGTGTCAGTGAATCAGTGGCATTGCCAGGAAGTAACTAAGAGCAGATTTTTTTGTTAATTTAATTATTTCCTTAATTAAATTTGGGTCTAAATTTAAATTCAGATTTCTTTTTCTCTCCCCTTTCCCCTCCCCCCCACCACAAGGCAGGTGTCTTTCAAATGTGCCTTTAAATATGCACCATTTACTCTGCATCTTACTTTTTAGGTAGAAGTCTGAAAAGTGTATAGCCATGTATATCAAGACAAGTAAGAAATTCCTTAACTACAGTAGACATCTGAAGGAGAGTTCGGTCGGTTATTTTTCTACTTGCTTTGTTTTAAGAATTGAACAAAAAGAACTGAACTAAGTATTTAGATACATATTTGTCAGATTAGACTTGATCCAACTTCCAATAGACAGTGGAGGATTTTCCACTGACTTCAGTAGGAGTTGGCTCAGGCCCTGTAAACCCATAGTACAGGTGCAAGAGATGATGATATTTATACAGATACACACATACTCCTCTTGGGGAGATTATGGCACACATGTGGTATCAGGTTGTTCATTTTCAAGCAGACGCTATGTAAGAAAGTCAAATTAAAATTGTTTTATATATTACTTCCACCAAGCTAATTCTGACTATTGCTTTAAAATTAGTATTAAAGTATTGCTTTAATAAATGTAGCATGTCCTAGCTAATCTCCAAAGAAGACAGAATCCATACAAATTGAATGGTATGCTGCATTTCTCTTACAAACTGTTTTTTTTACTTCAATTTTTATCTTCCAAGGTGAAAGCAAAGCAAGAAACAGAACTGGAACTCAAGTTGTTTGCTCCCCCATATGTACGTATCATCTGATTTTCAAGTTATCATTTTCACTTCAAGTCTTCTTTCATGTCTAGTTAACTAGCATAATGTCTGTTTTAGGCACTTTATCCTGAATTGTATTTTCTGCCTGGATTAGACCATTTAGAAAGTATTTATTCATCATCATCCACAACTTCAGAAAGACAACACTTTTATGAAGACCCTGCAGTATTCAGTAGCTATGTCCATGGATCAAATATTTTAAATCTTCCGAAGAGAAAGCTTGAAAAAAGTCTAGCATTTCTAGAAGGTCCACCAATAAATCATTTAATTCAGAATCAGGAAGAGCATAGTTCTTCAGGATGGAATAAAAAAGAAAAAGAAACAATTCAGGTTCTGCATGACTCCAAACAACATGAGGGAGTCCAGAACAACAGAAATCAGGAAAAACTGATTCCGCAAAGAAGGAAAGGTAAGATGTAACCAGTGTGGGGAAGGAGACTGAAATGCTTTGATATGGACCTCATCTGTAATTACAGTATACAACAAAACCAAGCTAGTTTAAATAATACTGTAACTAACTTAAGGGCTCAAATTCAGGGTTGAAGATGAAACTATTCCTTATATTCACTATAGATGTGTATCTGGCAATTCATTATTAAAATGAACTGGCTAAAGGGGGAAATGAATTGCTATCCTTTCTTACCCGATTATCACACACAGGTTAGACTTTAAAGAAGGGTGGCATTCTTTCCTCTGAACCCCCAGTTTGATTTTTATAAATCCAGACTCATACAACTTTTTCCCTGGGAAAGATTATAAGAAACTGAAGGATCAATATGGTTATGACATCAGAGAGATGGATTGTTTAATTGAGATTCAAAATTAAAATATTGGTTTGATTTTTTATGACTCCCATTTAATACACATACTGTACAAAAATTATTTCAAATGAGCTTTAGTTAAAGCACCCCCATTGCCATTTTTCAGCGCGGGAATACTGATACACATGACACTGAAGTCTGCTGGAGCATGGTAATTACCACACTCCAGCAGACTCAATTAATCGAGTCTGCTCCAATGCACTGTAATTACAGCATGTCCAAGCAACCAAATTGCGCATCTATAGGGGCCCAGTAATTAAGTGCCATATGTGGGAGGATGGGAAAATAAACTTCTTTTAAGGGGCAAACACAACCCTGATACTCTCTTTCTCTCTCCACCCTCCCTCTCCCTTCCCCCTGATCCCCCCCAGTCAGGTACTTGAAGGCAAAGTCTCAGAACTGTTTTCTTCCTTTTAATTTGGCATCTGTGATTGGATGTATTGCTTATCTTCTACTGCTTTTTCTCCTTTGTGACATACTTGGTACGCATTGTGTTCTGAAAATGTCACCTTTTGTTTATTTTCATGTCTCAGGCCTCGGGTTGTTGAAAACGAAAGAGTGATTTTATTAATAATTATTGTTAACGTTATAAATGAATATCTAGAATTATTTTCCCATGTAAAAAACTGTCAATTGTAAACACAGACCAAACTGGATCCCAGGGGTCTCTCTGCCTGCCAGGTCATCTAAATCCTGCAAAGTGGGAGTCCGAAAGAAATCCTGCCTCTTCACAAAATCCTCAGCAAACTCATCTCAGTGAGAATCAGAAGGAGTGTAATACACTAAACTGGAATGAGAAAGACAAAGGGACCATTCCAATTCTTCATGTAAAAGAAAACCATGAACAAAAGCAGAATAATCAGACTCAGGAAAGTCACATCCCACAGAGAAGAAATGGTACAGTTTATTCAGCTATCATTTATTTTTAAGCAAGTCTTTACAATGGGGATAAATAGAACTAAGTAAGAATTAAAAAAAATATCATTACACCATTTAAACTGTCAGATAAAGTTTTAAGAATGAGCTGAAGTCATAAAAGGAAAGGAATCTGACGCTGGGTGTGTCTACACGTGCATTAGATTTGGGAGCAGTTTACTCCCAAGTAAACTACTCGTGAGTAAATGCTCCCAGGCAGGTGTCTACATGGGTAGGGAAGTGGAATCAGATTTGCTGCGTAAGCAGCAAACTGCTCCCGCTTCCTGGGAGCCACCAAGGGGGGCTCTAGGATCTAGGGGGGCTCTGGGTCCTAACACAGGAGCTTGCAAGGAGCACCAGGCCACGAGACATTGCTCCCTGCCCCCCCCCCCAGGCTGCCTGCTGCTGGGGTGGGGACGATATCCCCCTGTCCTGGCAGTAGGAAGTTCCTGGCCCTGGCTCCCTGATTAGGGGCAGGGGACTTGGAAAGAGCTGCAGGGGAAGGGCAGGTGGCTGGCCCTGGTTCCCTGCTCTGATCTGCCAGTGAGGCAGCAGCTGCCCCACCCTTGCAGCTCTTCCCAAGCCCCATACCTTGATTGCCCAATCGGAGCGTGGGGCTGGAATCTCCCCCTGACCAGGACAGTTCCCAGCCCCGCTCTGGAATTGCAGAGCAGGGACTGGAGAGGCTGTTCCCTGCCCAGCTCCACGATTGTGGAGTTCCTTATCTCCCAGCCCGAGCTCCGCAGTCACAGGGCTCAGGCTCAGAAATTCTTCTCTCCCAGTGCCAGCTCCACAAGAGTGCAGAGCTTGTGCTGGGAGATGAGGCCCCGTGGTCACAGAGCTGGTGCTGGGAGCTCCCTGTTGGCAGGGGCTGGAGAGCCTGTTCCCCACCCAGCTTTGCGATCATGGAGCTGGGCAGGGAGAAGGCTTCCCAGCCCCCGCCAGTGGGGACCCCCCCAGTGCCAGCTGTGCAACCGCAAGTAGCAAATTTACTCACTATTAGAGCAGTTTAATGTGCAGTAAGCATGTGCATGTGTAGACGCACATGCTTACTGTGCAGTAAACTGCTCTGCTGCACAGTAAAGTGTCTCATGTAGATGTACACTCCCTTTCCCTTACCTCACCCTGTTAGGCCAAAGATACAGTCAGACATAATTGCATCCACTACTTTGAATGCCTTATATGGCACATATATGTAGACTAATAATGGCAGACAAAGTTCTTTGGGTAAATGTGATATCTTTATTAGACCAACTAAGTAGTTGGGAAAATTGTTCTTTGTCTGCAAACTCTATATATGCCTAAAGAAGGATGTTTGTGTCCGAAAGCTTGCAAAGAACATTTTTTCCAGCTATTTAGCTGGTCTAATAAAAGATATCACATTTACCCAAAGGACCTTGTCTGCCTATGTCCTTAGACCAACACAGCTACAACCAACAACCCTAAAGCACGGAAGATATAGCATAATAATGGATTTCAGCATAAATTCTACATATTTTTTTGCTATGGAATGACAATAGTTAAAGTTGGAAACTGGCCCTTAACTATAAGAACTACTTCGACAAACAGGCAGTGGCAAATGGGAGGGGTCACTTTTCCCCTGCACCGAGCAGCAGCTTCTGCCTGGCTGCTGTTGCTGCTCAGCATTGGTGGATGAATCTGGAGCAGGGCGGGCCAGGTTGAGGCTGTGCGTGCGGGTTCCAGCTGGTCCAGAGTGGTCTGCTTTGCCAGGCCAAGTCTGGAGTGGGCAGATGTGGGCCAGGGTTGGGGCTGTGTGCACGGGTTCCTGCCAGTTCCATGGGGCTAGTGCCAGTGGCTGTGGCAGCTGGAAGGAACCACTGCTGCCTAGGCTGCCTAGAAAGGCAGTCCAGCTGTGGAGCCACCCCAATCCCACTGCATGCCCACGGGGTGGCAGGATGCGCCACGGGCCAGACGGCACCTGGGCCAGGTGAAACTAAGACATATTTTGCCCACCCCTGACCTAAATGGAAGCCCTTATGACCTATAACATCCATTGTGCTTACTGGTATTTGTAGATATTTAACATTTACAAAAATCAAGTTCCTTTTATTTAGTTTCTTAAATATATATTTTAGGATCCTAATTTTAGACATGTTTGTTTCAAAGTGTTGACCGCAATAAAGTTTTATGGGCACGTTTTAATTCCTACTGTATATAGAGTTTTTTTGTGGGTCTTGTCAAATATATAGTGAGATTCTAGTTATTTTCTGTGACTGTTGTACAGAAAAGATGTATTCTCATATTTAAGCTCCTGATCTGAAGTGTATGGACATTAATGGAGTAGGCTGTTCTCATACTCTTTAAATCTCCCATTGACTTCAATGCAAGTTCATAGAATCATAGAAAGTGAGGTTTGGAAGGGATCTTAGGAGGTCATCTAGGCCAACCCCCTGCTAAAATCAGGACCATCCCCAGCTATATTATCCCAGCCAAGGCTTAGTCTAAAAATTTCTAAGGTCATAAAAAAAAACCCTCTAAGGATGGAGATTCCACAACCTCTCCAATATAGTCTGTGGCCTAACAATTTGTGTTTAAGAGCTTTTTAAAAAAAATCCTGCCCTATCAAAGTTCTTTGTATAACCAGGTAGAGGAAAAAAAGAAATTGGATAGTTGAGCTCAGAACAGTGCTTTCAATTCCTGTACATTTTTATAGATTTTTTTTCAAAAACCCAGTTATTTTGAAAGAGCCCTGCTTCATCCTCACTTATTGATACAGAGAAGTACTTAAACTTGTTTCAGGGATTTCGCGTAGGGAAATGAAGTGTTTTCATATAAAACATTCAGGAGACTAAATTTGGGCTTCTTGGAGCACTACAACACATTCCTCTGCCCATGGAGCTTAGGAAATATTCAGGATCTGTCTCCATAAGTAGCTTCAGCAGG